GAGGGGGCACATTAGCATTTTCTCTTACCCTCCGAGGGGGTGTATTTTCGTTTAAACTCATTTTTCTTGTGTCTTACCCTTTAGACTTTTGCTAAGTTGTGAGGCTTCCTCTTGTTCTTTTTCAAGAACAAAACATTTTTCAAGGGGGATGCCCAAATGTTCCTTTTTAACAAACTTTCACCACAAGGTTGTTCGTGGTTATGGTATGGCTTCTCACAAACGGCGCCAATCTGTTGACCCCAATAAATGTTGCCAACAGATGTCGGACCCACCCGCGCTTACGTAAGTAAAAGTCCAACATGCAAAGACATGTGGACGGTCTAAAAAAGACAGATCAAGGGCGTGGGAGTAGCTCAACGACGCGGGACGAGAACATTAGGAATCCGGCGATGATCGTAGATCGATTGTACAATAATTACCAATCAATATTTGCTAATGTGTATCTAAATATGTATGAACTCGTTTATGTTGCAAGATAATAAGAAAGATAAAGTTTAGTAAATTATGGTTTCTTGTATTGATTCTTGCATTAGTTTTTGTATGGGGTACATGGGGGAGTATTTATAGTGTCACTAGATAGATCGTGACCTTTGGTTCGGGATACACGTGGCCTCATCTGATTGAGTTGCATGTCAAATTGTATGCATCAGCCGCACCTAGCCTGTTATACATTTATTGATTGGTAGAGCCGCCTCTACTAGTGACAAGACTTAACATTTATACTCATAACAAACGTCCTATCAATCATTCAAGTAAGATCTTTGTGCAAAAGATCTCTTGGGAGAGGTGTCTATGGAAGATATTGCTTTGTGCTTCGGAAGCTGTCACCTTGGCTATAGAGTTGGCTGTGGGCGCCAACACGTAACGGATAACAGAGATGTCATATATATAGTTTTTGATGAATGACTCTAGCCGATGGCTCATATGATGTTGATCTTGACCATTGAGGAGAAAAGTAACCCTAGCCATTGAATACAAAAAGAAGCCCAAAAATATTTCGAATGGACGAATTAGACCATGTGTGAGTAGCAAGCGCATTAAATAAGCATAGTCCACGTACCTAGAAACACGCAACAACCACATTAATATATGTAGAAATTAGCTATAATTACAACATGTTTCTTTATCGTGTCACACACATTGCTGTAGTACATGAGTGGGATATCCTAAGGTAATTTAATATAAAATTCTTACCACAAATCCACATATTCGCCAATTAACATAAACAGTGAAACTCGAAATTCAGGAACTATTTGTCAATTATAACAAGCCCATTTTAACTTATAATCAAGTAAGCCGTACAAACCAAGTCAAAAGGCTCTTTTAATTTTGAGGAAATTAGGCCCACTACCCTCCAAATATGACAAATTAGAAAACTACCCTTAAAAATAAACAAAATCGTTTTCATTGTAAATGGTACGCTTAACCGACCAAAACTCCCACCACCAGATCTCTGTTTTGCTTCCCCAACGCATTCTTCTTCTCTCTATTTCTATCTAGATTGTATTTGTCGTTTTTCTTGATTTTAGGTCAGTTTGTGCTGCTTTGTTTTGAAATTTGTGGTCGATTTAGTTGCAGTGCTTGTTATCAAAGGGGTAAATAGAATGTAAGCCGTTGAAGGAGGTGAATTTGGATTTTTTCGGTAACGGAATGATTCGCTCTCGTGCTCTCCCGTTGCCATTCCGTCTCCCTGAATGCCTCACCAGTATTCAAGGTATGTAACTTCCATTTCTCCTTTCATTTTGCTAATTTCTAGGCATGTGAGTATCTTCCTCGTGAAATTTTATTGCTTTTGCTATGTTCATTGTGATTTATTTCATGATTTTGGGTATTGCTTTTTATTGAATGCATCGATTTTTAAAATGAGCTTGATGAATTGTAATATGGTTCATTCGTCTTTGAAATTCACCCAATGATTGAGGATCAATTATGCATTTTTCCTTCTCTTAATTTTGTTAATTTCTGATTTTTCCTTTATTACATATGATGATACCTAAGTTCTTTAAACGTGGAAGCACAGAGTGACTTAGCTTGCCTTCGTATCGGTTGCTCCATCGAGAAACACTAATATGGGTTGCTCTGCCAATGATTGTTGACATATGATTGCATTACTAATCTTCGCTACCATGACTTGTGATGCATTATATTGAGCATTAGAAGTAAATATCAACTACTAAAATATTAGGATACTTTTCTATATTTTGGGTGATTTTGCACAACTTTCATTCAGATAGATAAATGTAGTTGAAATTATGCTTCTATGCTTGCTTATCTCCATTTGCTTCGTTGAGGCATTTCTAAGTCATTAGCATTCTGATTGTGGTCTGCTTTAGTCAGCAAAAGTCTCTGTTTCCTATGTGAAGTATTCACGTGTTCCAATAGTAGGTGTTGAAAAGCTTCCTTTCCAGTTGGCAAACATAATTTTGGTTAGAACTAACTTGCAGGTTGTAGACGAGGGTCGTTCCAAAGTAAGAAATTCTTTGTCACCAGTAGCAGCTCAGTTGGCACTGCAAAAGATTTTACCTTTTCCTTGCAAAGAGCAGTACACTGTAGTGATTTTAATGCCTCAGGATTCTCATTTGAAGTCCCTAAAATCTTTTGTCCACTCTATGCTAATTCAATATTCTAGAGATGCAAAGGTCAGTGGATTTATCTCTAAATTGTAACGGTATTCTTGTAGCCAAACATGAAAGAGACACTACTCTATTCTTCAGGTAGTTTTGCAAACTTGAGTATCGATTCTAAGGGCTCAGTTGGTTCGATTCGTGTTGCTATGAGTGGAAAAGGGAAGAAGAAAAATTCATTACTACTTTTAAATTTTGCCTTTCGTACTTGTAAATTTGGAATTTCACAAAGAAGATTACATAGATGCAGTGATGTGAACCAAAACAAAGATTTTGAATTAATTTGTTGTTGGACTCTTTCTTTTAACTGTTGTCTATGGTTATTCTATAAGAAGTTTCAATTCATCTGTCCCTGTATCGAAATCAGTGTATTATTTTCGATTCGCTGGTTATCTTATATGATTGAAGAGTTCTTTTAATTGATATTGTATATTGTTGAATCTTTATTGTCAATTGATTAATTGGAAGTTGAAAAGATTTTCTTTATCATTCTTATATATTAGTCTCTAAATCAACCTCAGTTGTTTTTGAGGTTCTCTAGTTTGCTTCTCTTTGCTGAAATTGTTTTAGGTGGAGTTGGAGAGTAAAGTTGTGAGGGTAATTTTTACAGAAGTTGTATGTTACTTTTTTTGAGTTTGTCACTTTTTTTTGAATTGTTACTTTTTGAGTGTGTGTTACTTTTTTAAAATTTGTTACTGTGCTTGTCATTTTTTTAAATTTGTTATTTTTAAAAAATTTCTGTCACTTTTTTGGATTTTGGTCACTTTTTTCTAGTATTTATTACTTTTTTAAGTCACATTTTTTAATTTCTATCACTTTATTAGTGACAAACATCATTTTTTAATAAAAGTGATACTATATGTTATTTTTTAATTAAAAAGTGATACCTAACTTTTAAAAGTGATATTTTGTCACTTTTTTTAATTAAAAAGTGACGTTATGTTACTTTTTAATATTACACAGTATTTTTTACTTAAAAAAATTTTTCATATGATTTTTCAAACAACATCTCATTTTAAGGGTATTTTTATGAGCTTCATTATAAATCGTGAGTTATGATTTGTCACATTTTTTGATTTGTGTCACCATCTTTTTTTTTCCGTCACTTTTTTTAATATGTATAACTATTTTTTAATATTTCTCATTTATTTGAATTCGCCACTTTTTTAAAATTTTTGTCATTTTTCTTTCCTTTTTTTTTTTGGTCACTTTTTAGTGAAAATGTTGTAATGTTAGATTATGAACGGTGGAAATTTATATGAAATGTCAGGCGAACAAAATGGATGATGTTATTTTGGCATTTTGTCACTTTTTTTATTTTGTGTCATTTTTTTGAATTTTGTCACTTTTTTTTTGAGTTTATGTCACTTTTTTAAATTTACAAAGTATTTTATACTTCTAAAAAACTTCTTTTTTTTTTTTATAAATTTTGTCACTATTTTGAGTTTGTCACCTTTTAAGTTTTTGTCACTTTTTTTAATATTTATCACTTTCTTATCTTCTTAAAAATGTGACGTGATATGTAATAAGAGCCGCCACTATGCTCATGTAGATTGCCCTGGATATACTGATTATGTTAATAACATGATTAATGGTGTTACACAAATGGATGGTGTTAGTTTGATGTTTGTCACTTTTTTAAGTTTGTGTCACTTTTTTTGAATTGTGTTAAAAAGTGACAATTTTTATAAAAAAGTGACGCAATGTCACTTTTTAATTTCATACAGTATTTTTTACTTCTAAAAAACTTTTCATATGATTTTTCAAAACACTCATAATTTTAAGGGTATTTTTGTAAGTTACCCTTTAATTTTTAAGTTTATTGGTCGCTCTAAATTATGAAAAGCCCATACTATTATTAATTTAAATTATAAACGACATTCATGCATTTACACATAGGTATCTAGACATAATATAAACACGGTTATTAAGGAATCTTTATTATATTTGCAGTCTCTTCTTGTGCGTGACTAATTTTTTTGGAACATTGCGCGGACTTACCTAGGTTGATAACTATGTTTATTGTCTTGTCTTTTGTAACTTCTTATTTGACCTTGCAACCCTGAAAATGTTGGATGTGGGAAGCATACTTATTAAGTTTTATAGGAATACATTGGAAATTCGCACATGTATTAACTTGTCTTAATATTTCTTCCTATTTTATAAATAGTAGGGGTGAGCCACCTTTCCTGGGTATAGAGAGAAAAACAGAGTGGCTTGAGATTAGAAAACACATTGTAATCCTTCATCTTTGTTATAATAAAACCATGCAGCAGTAAGTGAACATAGCTCTCATAATACGAATAAACCAAAATAAATATTGTGCTCTCATGTGCTTTATTTTATTTTACTATTACAGGTCTTAGTATTATATGATTATACATTTAACCTGTAATAGGAACACCAGTAACTCAACATGATCAATTTCTCAGTTTTAAGATTTCACTAATGGAAGAGAGCAATGTTATGTAGCCTAGTAATTCTTCCAATGCAGCTCAAATATGTACTCTTTTTTGATATCCTAATGACACATCTCGGTTTTAGCTTTGTAAGGAGAGTTGGACTGGTAGCATATGCCTAATATATTATTAAAACTGATGTTTTCAGATTTTGGATATTGATGACTTCATTAAGCTTTTTCCGATAAAGCTGTAGTTTTGGAGAGTTGGACCTTTCTAAAAAGTTGGTATCAGATACCATAATAAGTTTCCATTTGCAAGACACAGACAAATAGTAATAGATCACAAATACACCAGTTGATGTAAGTATTATGTTATAGGTCCAATCAATTTTGGACATAAGTACTTTTAATATATAATTGATGCAATTTTTTAACAGATCTATTATTTAGTTAATATTCAATTAAATTAAATAATAGAGTTCATAGATTCAAATTTTAGTAATCTGTTAATTTCAAAGAGTTTGTGATTGTGAGGTACAAATTACATATGATTTAATCTTAAATCATCTGTGGTCATAAGTAATAACGAAGTACGGATATCATTATTACGAATAGACTATCATGTATGACATTTTTTACTTGTGAAGTAAGTAGTTGATTTCACAAGCTAAATTGTGGTAACATTTAAATGAACTCGTGGATGTTTTGTTATAGAGCAAAATATTGGAGTTTGCAGAAAAATTTCATATGGATCACTATTTGAGTGTCAATGGTTAATCTCCAACGTTCGGTAGTGGAATGTCATTCAACTTGAGGTCATCACAATGTCTTATATGAGGACCATCATACTTTGGTGATGTTGGATGTTGTTCTGCCAATGGTCGTTAATACGACATCGTTCGAGTATGTCAAAAATCAAATGCAAGTTGTGAATAATCAATAGATGATTCGTTATTCTTCGATAGTAAGAGATTATGATCTACATTTCATTTAGTTAAGTTGATAACGAAATCCTTTGTCAAGGTATACTTATAAGTCAAAAATGAGTTTTTGATTTATATAAACTTAATAATGAAATGAAAAATATGATCAATAATCGAAATTGACACACTCACATATTCGTAATTGATCGGATTATATTGATAAAAGGATTATAGTTTCATGATAAACGAACAAGTTTGATTTTGTCATATCACATGATATTTTTGGTCACATATGTTGCCCTAATCCATTACTAGATATTATTCTGGGACGACGAATGTGAATTAGTGATAAATTAAGAATGAGTATTTTAATTTATCGATTTTGATTAAATCAAAATAATAATTCACGTCGTTATGTATCGTGATTGAAAACCTGATTGATCACACACAAAAGGAGAACTAGAAGGGTTGCTTGTTAATAAGCCCGAGTTAACTAATTGGATTAATTAATTCATCGACCAAATTTAATTAATTTGATTAATTAAATATCGGATCAAATTAAATAAAGAGATGGGCCAAGTCCATTTAGACTTATATAAATAGGTTGTTAGGGTTTAAAAAAATTGTAGAGAAAATAATTATTCTTGCTAACACAAGAAAAGAAAAAATATAGTTCTATCAATTTTGTTCCTTGTGTCGATTTTTATTGGAAGTTGGACAATTGAACAGTTGTGAATTGCAGATTGTGATTGTTAGAGTTCAAGAAAAGCGAAAGAATGCAGAATTCAATAAGATATATAATTTCTATTATAGTTTTTATCAAATACAAAGCAAATCCTTGGTAAGAATTGAAATTTATGATTAAGTAAATTCCCAACAGTTGAAATAATTGGTTCCCGTTTGGCCTCCATTAAAATTCATCAATTTAATTAAAATTTTTCTCTCTCCTATTTTCAACCACACAATCTTTAATAAAATAATATTACAAACAAATCGAAAACTTTTCATTATTTTACAACTATCCATTTTTTTTAAAAAACACTATTCCCCCGTTATAAATCCAAATTTATTCTCGCCTGTTTACATTTCGTGAGGCAAGTATTTCATCTTTGAGCGTGTGCTGAATTGCTTGCTTATTTTTAAATGGTGATGCAATTATTGTCAAACTGAAAACTCATCCGATATAGAACTTTTGTTGATCACAATCTTTATACTAATTTCCATTGATTACACAAGACTGTTTATGACACTTTTCTCAATGAAAATGTTGTGTTGTTGTTGTAACTGTGTTTTCTTAAAGCGCATAGACCACTGTAAAATAATTAACCAATTGTTGAGTTAGGGGAATTCAAATGATTTCCGCGGAATATTTCATCATGATGGCGTGCTGAAGAGCTATCTTATTACACAAAGCTATTTGTTGTTTCCTCAATGAAAATCTTGTCTTGAGGTGCTGTATCTGTGGTTTCTTTAAGTTCATAGACTGCTGTAAATTGAATTAGTTTGAGCCTCATTTTGGGCGAAGGGTTTCCTCAATGATTTATGGAGAATGCGTAGTTAAAAAATAAGATAAAGTGTTTGATTTACGTGTAAAATTATTTTATTGAAGAACGTGTAGTTGAAAATGAGTTTTGAAAAAAATGAGGTTTTTGAAGAAATGGGACTCAAACGAGGGCTAACCAATTGTTAAGTTAGGATAATCAAATAATCCCCATGAGAAAAAAATAATGAACTTCTTTGCCGACTGAGTCTAATGTCATTTTCAGCCTGTGTCTGGACAACTGATGGTTGTTCATTAGTCAAGCTACACTAGTTAGAGTACCAGAATCACAAGCACTAATTGTCACAAAAAGTTTACCTTAAACAAACCTCACACATCCCATGTTTTTAATCTTCAGCATTTGTTTACAACTTACTGTCATGGAATATTTACATCAACCCTTAATAGGTTCCTTATATTGGTTGAAGCCTGATTGAACTCTGGGGGCATGTTGATATGGAAGTGGTATATACTGCTTCCTTTCTAAAGCAGCTGAAGCCTGTTCGATACTCAATTTTATGATTATTATAAATAAAAAACAAGGATCTTTCAGAGAGAAAATTTACCCAAACTTCATCATTATTGTTGGTGTTTTCTCCTTCTGAGTTTGTGGTTGGCTTAGCTGGAGGTTGAGGGGGCCGTGCAAATCATATTCATTGTTGATTCCATTGTTAATGTGGGAAACCCTGTTTGCTTCATCAATATTCTCTGAGCTATAAACCTGGATCAAAACTTGTGTTAAGCTCAGCTGGGAAAATGTTCGCCTACCTGGCCTGAACTATAGTACTTCTTATGGTAATATTTGGTGTACCTTTCTCCGCAATTCTGTATTTTCTTGACAAATAAGGTCTAACTTCTTACGCAGTTCTATGTTCTCTTGATGAATGAGACTCCCCTGTAAAGAAATCAATAAACAGTCATTAAATTTATGATTAGATCTAATAAAAAGGTGAAAATCTAAATGTTTTCGGAAGTGGACCTTCTGGTTTAACTCTTTCATTTCATCAGTCATGATTTGTTCCTGTGAGAAACAAGAAATTTTCGGAACTTTCATTTACTTGATAATGGCAGCTGTAGATAAAAGTAAATAGTTACTCTCTTGGACATAAAATCTTAGAGGATACTAACCTTTTTCATTCGGATGCCTTTCAAACTCATTTCCAGTTGATTTTCCAGGTTACGTAGATCTATGATGCTCAATCCAGAAAGTTCTTCTCCTAAAAGCTGCCTACATTAATCATAAAAAGAGGCATATAGCATATTACTTGGATTTCAATAAAGCCACTTAGCTAGATTTAAAAACAGAAAAAAGAGACTGATTTGGCAGCAAATGATTGATGTTTTTTATTAATTTCTCAAACTATCTAATCACGCGTATACACTTGTCCCACCTATTTTTGAACCTGTATAAGTAGCATGATTACTTGGATTTAGCATCATCTGCAAACCTGCGTATGTATCTCCCATCATTTTTACTGCATTTTCCATATTCTTAAGGAAGAAACACATTCTAGAAGCTCTCACTCAAGCAAGGACTTCCCATATTCTGAAATATTTTTTTCTACTACTATTGAAAAAAATTCTTTTTTAGTACAGGCTGACTAATTTAGCTGAATGCGACTTTCTAATTTCAAAAAGACGCGGACAAGCTCATTGTATGCAGTTGTTTGAGCCCCATTTTTACTATACAAATTTTTCACAAATTGATTTTCAACCAAATATTCTCCCAAAAAAAAATGCACGTAATTCTAAAAAGTTTCCTACTTTTTAATTATATATTCTCCAAAATATCACATTTTTTACCAAATCTATTATTAAAAAAAAAAAGAAAAAAAAAAGCTCATTTTTTTATTCCCCCAAGAAATGAATGTATTGCAGTCGTTTGCATCATGTTTTTTATTCTAACTTTCTCAATGGAATGTACTAACTACTAACACATGACGTAATTGCTCATCCATAACAAGGTTGCAAGCGACATTATTCATTTTTGTTTTTGAGAAAAAATTATTATATCTTGTGTTGAGCACACTTTCAAGAACTCATGTCTTGGTAGATCTATCCAACACTTGAGATCGAGCCCATGCACAGTTTTCAATACCCTGCTAGGTACTCTCTTTAATTGACTCGACCTAATTGTGTTTATTTCCTTTCAAAAACTGATCATTTTCTGCTTAGATATCCATGGCGCCATTTTCTATGTAGGGGGTTAGGTTAGTAAAAAATCAATGAGATAAAGAATTAGTGCTCTATTTGCAATTTATTCGGATATCAATTGTACAATATTTATTTTGTCTGTGTTCTGTGACATGCCTCTAACCGAAGTTTTAATGGGATCATAACCTTCTAATTGGTGCCATCTTTTATGTTTTCATTGCTTGGACACGAAAGATCAATGCGGCGTTAGTTGGATTTACTATATGTTAAATGGATAATAAACTAACCTGTGGCTTTCTTGTAAGTACTGTAGTTGTTTACTCAAGCTTGCTACTTCCCTCTGCCAAAACTAGCAAGAAATAAGCAAATTAGGAACAGCCGGCTAAATTGGACGAACATATCAACACATTTTAGGCCTGCATTCAAGTAGATAAATTAAATAGAAACTCCAACCATATTACCATGAACATTATACTGCTTGTAGCAGTCTCAATCATAATTAAATGTAAACACCTTCTCAAAATTGATCATAGCACCAAATTTATTATGTCAGTGAACATCTTTGAAATCCTAGTGAATTATAGATTTGTGCTGCGAACTATCTAGATCAAAGTCTTGTATAAAGAAATTCATGAAGAGAGATTAAATAACATTATGTCGCGAACTCAATATATAGAAAATGTATAGAAATATTTATGAAGTACTGATTTAGACACAAGATGCATCCAATGGACATGACACAATACGACATAAACATGTTGACACATAACTTTTTAAGAAAGTAGGTCACAAACAAGTGGGAACACGTAATGTAAAATTATATATTGATGTGGGTTATATTTATATATTAATATTTCATTGTTTTGAAATTATATTAATACTCTTTTAGGCTTTGATTTTAAATTTTGAAGGTGAAATAATGATTTGAAAAATGAAAAGTGACTATTTTTTGTATGAGTAAAACGAATAAAAAGTTTCATATAGATGCATAGAACACGTGAACATATTAAATTAACACAATGTTCCTACATTTTCTCCTATTATGTAGATTCTTTTACACTCACGTTTGCAAGATGTGTTGGGAAAGTATCTATTATGTTGAAAATTCAAGAGAATACATAAAAATAAGGCGGAATAATGAGGTGTATGATACGAGTCTCTGAGTTTATACTGTTTGTTGGTGTTAAATACATTTTAGTCTCTGGCATGTCACCATAGGAGGAATACCTGTGCTTCTAAGAGAAAAACAAATAGGGCATTTAGTAGGAAAAGCAGGCAAAACAAAGAGGCAAGGTAGTCTTTATGTTCTAACACGAGTACAAAGAGAATGAACAATGTGGAATTGAGGTGTCTTGATTATATTACTATTTTATTTTATGGAACACTATATGTTTTATTTACTTTTGAATTACTCTATGTTCGTATTTACGTGAGTTGTTGTCACTAGTGGTTTAATTTTAGCTACTTAGTAGGTAGTGAGAAATAGGAAGCTTAGTAATCCTAGTTTCAGGGGGGGAGAAAGATATTTTATTTTGTATTTAAATCATATGGATTAATGACTAAAGTAAAAATGAATTATTTTGCAATTGTAGTGTTTGTCTCAGGAGGCTATAGTTCTGCGAAAAAAAAATAATATTTTGCAAAGGTTTTCCTCGAATTAACCTACTTATATTCATTGATTCCTAGTTTTTATCATCGTTGCTTCACATTTCGTTATAGAAAATTCATGAGTAACATTTGGAATTAGAGTCGGACAAAGATCAATCACTTGAGGAAAGTGTGGAATGCTTGGAAAAGATGGTCAAAGTTATTTCTAATTGTCAAAAAATAAATAAATAAATTAAAAAAAAAAACTTGATGTTAGATGAATGAATTCTTTAAAACCTTAGATATAAACTCACAATTTTCATCGAGCGACAAAAGCATCAAACTAGGGGTGGACCTAGGGGGTGGCCAAGGGGTTCACGTGACCCCTAGTTTTCCTTTTTTTCTTTTTTAAAAAAAAAAGAAAAAGAAGGTGAAAGTTTAAAATATACATAATGCAATCGACAGCAGGTAGCATTGTTTCTCTCTCTCTAGACTCCAACCATTTCAATAAAGCCCCTACCAACTGCTATTACCATTTACCCACCGGTCCACTACTTCACCGTTCTGTACCATTACCATTGAAAGTTTGATTGTGAGCTCATATCACAGGAGGAAACTTCGTCCAGAGTTCTATTACTATTAATGAGCTCGTAGGAAGCGAACTCATAGTAAGCAAGAGGGCCCGGAAGGAGGGCAATAAGCAGCAGTTGTTTCGACAGCTTGGATTGGAATATCTCTTTCAGGTTCCGTTGATGACCCCTCCTAACCCAAAATGCCTGCGTCCGCCCTTGCCTCAAACTATAAAGAAGTGTGAAAATGCTATGTTCACCATACTCCATGAGTTGGCATATGGTCAATCTGATTCTCCTACTATTCCTCCAAATTCCACTCTACAGCTATACGTTAAATTGATGCTGTAAGGCGTAAAAGACACAATTAAAGATGGTGGAATATCCAAAAAGATTCTCACTTGTGGCAAGGACAGAGCTCTTCCTAAGGACTTAGATGGAGTTCGTATTCAAAATGTTGCACTATTGGAAGATGGAAAGTAGTAGTGAAATCCAGTGGAATTGAGTTGGCGTCTGAAGGTCCTTTTTTCCTACTATGGCCAAAGCCATGAAGAAAGTGACAAAGTTTAAATCTTTTAGTCAAGCCCCAATATGGATTTGATGAGAAGGGAAAACCAGCCTGCTGTCCATGCAGCGCCTAGGCGCTGCTTGCCTTGCCTTCTCTTCCCTTTCTTCTCTTCTTGCTTCCCTCCTTCTCACACAGCCTCTGATCATGCTGGGGGGTTCCGTCCCAAATGTAATATTAAACCTCACTTTGGAACTCATACATCAATGAGTTCGAGGTTCTCATGTATTAGACCACAAGTTCAAAGCGACAAAAAATGGGAAGGTATAAAATTGTTCTCAATATTCACTCTTGAGAATAATGGTGTCTTTAAGGGAAAGGATTGCTACATTTTTATTTTATTGTACATTTTATGTTATATTTATTTCTGAATTAGTGGAAGTTTGTATTGTAGGTTGTTATCAGTGGTTTTTAATTTCAGCTATTTAGTAGGTAGTGAACAATATGGAGCCAAGCAGTACTCCTAGTCCTAGGAGAGATTGCATTTTGTTTTGTACTTAAATCCTACGCATCTAATGAATATAGTGTGGATGAAGATATTGCTTGTCTTGAAAGGTTACTGGTTCCTTGAAAACCAAATTTTTGGGAGTTCTGGGTTCCTTGTGGGATGTACCTACTCTTCTTTGTTTCTTTCTCATTTTTCATTTTTCCACGTTACAATTTTTGTTACATAATCTGAGTGATTAACAAGATTACTTCAATTGAACTTGCGTTTCTTGATATTTCTTGTAGAAGTATGGTGTGTCGACCCTCCTTAATGAATTTCCATCTTTTCCTTCCTATCAACTTCGTAACTTACATAAAGATGTGAATTGACTCTTTCCACAGATATCAGTGTGAACTTACTTCTCTTGAATCATTAGAGCCGCTTATTTAAGAGGTAAAATTTCTTGCATATTCAATTCTCCTCGTGTGTTGGACAAACTTGTGAGCATTTGTATGATTTTGGTCCTCTGGGTTATTTGGTTAAAAGCTTTACCGCATAGATGGAGTTGGTCAGACTAGTTAAACATATGCATAGGTCGGTAAATTGTTCAACTTCGGGTATAATTCGAATATGTGTATGACTCCTCTAGGTCTATGGCTAGTTTCTTCGATATTTTCTTGAACTAAATTCAGATATTTGCCCGCACAAAGTACTTGAGCACCCAAATGAAATGCTTCCTTTGAATTCAACTACCCAAATCGGAATTCCCAATTTATTGACCCAATTCATTACTATTTTAGACATCTTCTCGTTGAGAACAATGTAAGAAGTTACCCCTAGAGTACTATGTGTGAATATAATATATCATCCCTTTCAATGATAAATTTCTTAAAATCCATGGCTTTCGAACGACACAAAGTTTGTTATAATTGTAAAGTTCATAGTTAAGTTGCTTCGTTAAAGTTCCATAGTTTGTGCCTAGTGTGGTTGATATTAAAACCTTAACCTTAGACACCTAAGAAGGTGAACTCCATGACGATCCTTCACATCTTGTACATCTTATAGGGTAGACCTCTTTAGTTTCTTTTGTGGAATTTATTGAATATCCACTTCCGTATATTGAGGCTCATGTCTCACGGTAGTATGTTGTGGGACTAAATTTTCAGGTGTGTGAGGATGACACATTGTTCAACTCGTTTCCAGACATTTAAAGATTATCTTGAAAAACTGGAAATCCATCTTCACATCCATTAGGAGTCAATATTTTGACGCAACATCTCTCAAGCTTTAATTTTGTGTCTGTTTCATGACTTGACTATTTACCTTCTATATTTCTGAATGATAGTAGAAAGTTTGGGATGTCCGTTTTATAAAATATTTGGTCTCGTTCCTTAACCATTAAATAGATCACATATGTTGAAATACTTGTGCGGCTTCTAATTATATACCTCGTTGAATCTAAGCTCGGAAGATCATGCATGAATTTCTATCCCATGTAGTTATGTTTTATTTTTTTAATGCTTGAATGTTATTATATAAACACATTTTAATGGTTGATGCTTCTTACCTTCCATTGTAGTCTCTATTTGTGTATGTGGTGGACTGAGATTCTACATATTCCTCTACCCATTGTAGATATGTTCGGAATTCACTTTGTGATGTTCAATTCCTAATCACTGTTCAGAGAAACGAACTATCTTTCAATGGAATTATGTGAAATTCAGCTGCAGCAGATGCTTCAAAGTAGTGTCCACTTGTCGGGCTAGCTGTGCATTCTTCTGCAAATGCAATAGAATGACATTAGCTCATGGCTTTACCTGATATAAACTGGACAATCATTTTGATGGGTCAGTTACTATCGAAAGGCAGACATATATATTCCTTCTCTTGAAGTGCTATGTGTACCCAAATTCTCCGCTAGAATTTTCACAGAATACACATGGCAGCATCTAGTAAAAAAATGGCAAAAAAAGAAAAAAAAAAAAAGATCAGCATCCGGTGGAATTCTGATACTTCTGTTTCTGTACAAGCAGAAGAATTGTTCCTTCTCTGTTCTCAGCATTCATGGTTGTTTTCAAATAACAAATGGCTTCAGTTTCCTGGCACAGTTAGAGGAGCTTCATTCTTTAGTCAAGGAACAGAAATTTTGTAGTGCCTTTGAATGTACTGATTAATCTTGATGATCTAATGTTGGTTTCAGG